ACGTAGCCATTAAAACTTATCTAGGTCTATATAGGTAGTGAATGAAAAAATATCCGCAGCATGTTGTCATAAAAAATAAGATAATATTTTAGTCTTAAAAATATTTTTATCGATTTTCTGTATCATATGTTCCTATGCTACATCATATCATTTCATCCACATATATTTCAGTATATATCTTAAAGGAAAAGGACTCAAAAATAACCCATGATACTGTTTTTACACCAAGAAAATTAACAGCAGTTACTTAACAGTGTCAGATAACCAATCTGTGTTCAAATATCTCTGTGTCCACGCAGAATCCAAGTAAGAGCTATGCTTCGGACCTGGTTCAGAAGGCTCTTAAATCTCTTAAAAATCTCTTTTAATCTACAGGTTCTTCCATCCAAGTACTAACCAGGCCCGACCCTGCTTAGCTTCCGAGATCAGACGAGATCGGGTGCATTCATAACCTATAGGTTCTTTTATCACGCAGTTTCCCGATCAAGTACCATTATTTTCTGTATATCACATCTCATTTATCTGCTGTGAAACATGCCAACGAACGGCAGAAATGTCATCACAGGAGAACATTTCACACATTTACTTCACGCTTAGCTTACCTCACCCCGAAAGCCATAGGTAGAAATACTAGACAAATCCTCAAAGCACTGCAGTTTACTTGTAGTGAACCTCTCACACACAATATCCAGATCTTCTTTCTGGGAGACACCAAAAAAAAAAGTAAATAATTATGTTACTCATTTTTTTCCAAATCTTTTTAGATCTTGTTTTGCTTGAACGAATCCCAGAAGAGATTCCCCTTAGGAATCGGCAGTGACTTCCTGGCTCGGCCCCTGGAGGACCACATGGCCCTGGGGTTCCTTCCTTTTCACTCGCCTCACTCTCACTCGTCTGGTTTGCTGGTCCTGCCCTGCCTCCCCTGGCAGTGGGGTGACGGGGGACGTCACCCTTGGGCCTCTTCTCTACGACACACACTCTCAATAATCTCATCCAGTCTCGTGGGCTGGATACATATTATTAGAAAACCTCCTTATTAAAAATCTAGATACATTCTACAGATACATTCAGTAGTAGTAAAATATACAGAACAGACTTTACCTTATCGAGCATACAGTTCTGTGCATAAAATGCATTCACATTGCTGTGCTACCATCACCAGCATCCAGGTTCCCAGACATCAGACAAAGGCGTACGGTTTCTCAATTATCCCTCTCCTAGGCCCCTCGTAACCCCTGTCCTACCTCTGTCTCTGTAACTTGAACTACCCCAGGAACGTCATGTAAGAGGAATCATACAATATTCGCCCTTTTGGGATTGGCTTATTTCACTTATCTTCAAGGTTCACCTATGTTAGTATCTTGTCAAAATTACACTCATTTTTAAGGCTGAATAATATTTTATCATAAGTGTACATCATATTTTGTTAATTCGTTTATTTGTTGACATGTGGGTTGCTTCCAATCTTTGGCTGTTGTATGTTGCTATGAACACAGGTGTACAAATCTCTTCAAGATCCTGCTTTCAGTTCAGGGTGGACACCCTGAAGTGGAACTACTGGATCACATGGTGATTCTGTTTCGTTCTCTGAAGAATCATTATACCACTTTCCACGGGGCTGCACTAGTTTACTTTCCCACAGACAATGCACAAGGGTTCCAGTTTCTCTACATCCTTGCCAATATTCTTCCTCCCTCCCCCCCTTTATTTATTTATGCCATCCTGATGCATGTCAGGTCTTGTTTCATTGTGGTTTTTCTTTGTATTTCCTTAATTAGTAATGTTGAGCACCTTTTCATGTGAGTCTCATGGCTCTTAATACCATCAAACTGCAATATACCAACCTTTTATCTCCAGCTCAAACCTTCATCTGCACTGCAGACTCACACATGTATCCAACTAAAAGACATTTTGAGTTTATCATGCCATGAAGAGATTTTCTGATCTTCCAACAAACCCACTTCATCCAGTCTTTCCATCAGTGAATGGTGACTTTTTTCTATTTGCGCAGGCCAAAACCTTGCCATCATTTTTGACTCCTTTCTCTCACACCATGCCGCAGCAAATTCTGAGAGCTTTGTCTGCATAATCAACCCAGAACCTCACTGCTTCTTTCATCTCTACTTCAACCAAACTGGTCCAAGGCACCATCACCCCTCCCCCAGATTGTTACAAGAGCCTCCTCACTGCTTCTGCCCTATCCCACTATTTTCCACATTGTAGACAAAGGGTTCTAATGAAAGTCACTAAAACCACATTACCTGTTTGCTCAAAACCCTCTGACAGCATCCTACCTTATTCAGAGTAATGGCCCACAGGGTTCGAGGTGATTGGACTGCTTATCTTTCAGATCTCATCTCCTGTTCTAGACACACTGGCCTCCTAGCTGAGCCTTAAACATGTCAGACATGCTTCTGTTTCATGGTTTTTGCATGTATTGTTCTCTTCGTTGGGAACATTCATCCTTTAAATGGCCTCATGACTCACTCCTTGTCCTCCTTAATCCCCTGCTCAGTGCCCAGTATAGAATAGGAACTCAATAAACAATTACTAGGCCTGGCTGGTGTAGCTCAGTGGATTGAGCACGGGTCTGGGAACCAAAGGGTTCCCGGTTTGGTTCCTAGTCAGGGCACATGCCTGGGTTGCGGGCCATGTCCTCAATAGGGGGCACTTGAGAAGCAACCACACATTGATGCTTCTGTACCTCTCTTTCTCCTTCCCTTCCCCTAAAAATAAATAAAATCTTTAAAACGAAACTACTGTTGGTGTTGAATTTTTCAGTCAAACAATCCCACCCACAAAAGCCCAGATTCGAGAACAGGGAAAGGTTCTGCCACTTCCTGCAGATGTGTCCATCACACACAGCACTCAAACATCCTGCTCCTCTGAGATTTAACTCACCCTAATCCCGGTGCCGTTGTCTTGGATCTGAATCAGCTTCAGGCCTCCCTCTTTTACAACCACTTGAATACTTGTGGATTTTGCATCTAAACTGGCAAACCAAACAGAAAAAGAAATTAGTCTGTAATGACCCTAATGCACAAATTTTAATATGAGCCAAGGAAGAAGAACAAATTCCGGATGAATATAAGACTGCCTGACTGTTTGTCCTTTGTCTTACAGGCTCTGTATCCACACTATTACCAGCTTACAGAGAGGGAAGAGGGGGACAGAGGGGGCCAACCATCCCCTCCAACAGAATATCCCCAGTACTGCTGCTCCTCTAGGAAAGAAAGGGAAGTCAGAAGTAGGTCCTTTCAGCACATGCCTTCTTACCTTCTTCTCTAAGTCTACGACCTGTTACTCAAACTTCATTCAGCCTCAAGTTCCTAAATGACTGTAACAAAACGTCACTAAAAATTCTAAATGTTTTCTCTTCCTCTTCCTTTGTCTTTAAGAAAATATATTTATGTTGGGGGAAAGAAAAAATGGGCAATGCAGAAAGTTCTTTAAGAAGCTACGAAATCTTTTGTACCAAAGAGTGGCCTACGAGCACAGAGCACATGCTAGAGAAAACAAATTCAGGCTGGTGCTGTATGAGAAAGAGAAGTTATGGACACAGAAAATTCTTTATTTAGAAATGAAGACAAAAAGCTCCTTAAACATTAAAGACCGTTCTCAGAAGACCCTGAATTGAAGTGGGTCAGCCATCTTGACATACATTAAAAAGAGCATAACTGGATCCATACAAAGTCTCTGCTGACAGGATTAGTTACAATCAGTTAATTCTAACACTACAGAAACAAAAGCCAGCCTGTATAAACTGTGTAAGTGAAGTCAGGAGAAACCCTTCCTAGGTCCCCTATTCCTTCCATCTTCTCCGTTCTAATTCTCTGCCTTCCCCTCAGTAGTCCTTTCTGACCCACTGTTCCTCCAGTCCCGTTATCCTGAATAGTTTGTTCTCACAATAAATCCCTTTACAAACGTTCTTAGCTGGGGTATTTTTTTTTTTTTTCTTTTAAGGCATGGATTCTATTAACATCAAGTTGACTAACACAAAGGATCTGATGTAAATGTTTAGGGACGTTATGAGCATGTCGTTTTTGAGGTTAACAGTTTACACCCACCTTTCTTTCCACGTTTTTAACCTCCTCCCTCCACACTGTCTGACATTTCCAAACTTGAAAATCCACAGAATACCGTATAAAGTCAGGTATCTTCGAAGAGCCCCCCATAAAAGTAAAGGGTAAGAAACACTAAGTGGGATCACTGATTTGGGAATAAGAAAATCCCAAGTTAAACATAGAGAAAGTCCATCGGCCTGTCCTAAAATCTCTATTTAGAATAAAATTCAAAATGAATCGTTTTCTAGAATGTGCATGCTTTTTGCAATAACTGTTACTGATGAAAGAGAAAAGGGGATTTTTTCCCCACCGAAAATTTGTATGCGTTTTAAAATCTGCACCTTCTGCACATATAATTTTAAAACTATTGCCTTTAGTTAATGACACCATTAACAAACACGGCGTAGCCTTCTAATTGCGCCCCCGAAAAATCCCCAAAAAGTCTCGCGACAGCGCCCGGGAAGCGAGAAGACAAGACCCCCAAGACCTCCGCCTCTGTAGGCATGCGCTACGCACGCCTCCGCTCAGGTCAGGGAGGCGTGTCCGCGCCATCCGAGCAGCGGCCCATTAAGTCGTAACTTCTGAGGAAGCCCAGGTACCTCGTACCAGTTCTCAATCATCTCCTTAATGGCATTAGCTGGCCGCTGGATAACTTCCCCTGCCGCGATGCGGTTCACCACTGTCTCGTCCAGTCTCCGAATTACGCCCGCAGCGAGCGACATTTTGGCGCCACAGGATACCGGGTCACGTCGGGGAGCTCGCTGGAGGTGCCGTCAGCCAATCACTACAGTGCTTCGTGCTTACGTCATTGCCTTACTGTTTACGCCAGCTTTCCGCTACCCCTGCTTGCAGCAGCACCGCTTCCGAGCCAGGGAGCTATTGATTGGGCAGTTTGAATGCCAGTCAAGCTTCTTAGGTCCTTGGGTTCCCAGGTCTCCCGGTTTCTCCCTAAAGCCCCCTCAGCCCACTAGCTAGGAGGATTTGCGCCTGCGCGATAGAAATCACGGTTCGCTTTACCGGCCAATAGGAACCTAGGTGGCCTAGCGGGAGGTTGGTGTCGCGCTGCTGGGGTGATCTGGCGCAGAGCTTAGGTGGCGTTAGGCGCTTTCTCCTGCTCCGCCTCACTGCTTGCAGCCACCGGGACGTCTGCCCAGCTCTTTTGGCCGCCGGCAAAATGTGGATGACACCTAAGAGGAGCAAAATGGAATTCGAGGAGACTCGGGGATTCCGGCCCGAGTGGACCCAGCGTTATTTGGTGGTGGAGCCTCCGGAGGGCGAAGGGGCCCTGTGCCTGGTCTGTGCCCACCTCGTCGTGTCCACCTGCGAACGCGACGTCAGGCGCCACTACGAGGCCGAGCACCAGTACTACCAGCGGTATGTGGAGGAGGGCGAGCGCGCGGCCCTGGTGGAGCGGCTGCGGCAGGGGGACTTGCCCGAGATCATCCCACCTACCCCCGAGGAGAGAGCTGCTCGTGCAGGCCTCGGGATCGCCCGCCTCTTGGCCCTGAAGGGTCGCGGCTGGGGTGAAGGGGACTTTGTGTACCAGTTAATGGAGGTGGTGCTGAAAGATGTACTGCCGGATCACGTAGACGTTTTGGGAGGCATTGATTTATCTCCAGACACCATCCGGCAGAGGGTCCTGAACATTAACGAGAATCTACGTAGTCAGCTTTTTAACCGAGCCAAGGACTTTAAAGCGTATTCCCTTGCGTTGGACGACCAGGCTTTTGTGGCCTATGAAAACTACCTCCTGGTCTTTGTCCGCGGCGTGGACCAGGACTTGGAGGTGCAAGAAGAGCTTCTGACCATAATCAACCTAACTCATCACTTCAGTGTCGGTGCTCTCATGGCGGCAATCCTTGAGGCCCTGCAGACAGCAGGGCTTAGCTTGCAGCGAATGGTTGGACTAACCACGACCCACACTCTGAGGATGATTGGTGAGAACTCAGGACTCGTGTCATACATGAGAGAAAAGGCTGTAAGCCCCAACTGTTGGAATGTCATCCATTATTCGGGATTCCTTCACTTGGAACTGTTGAGCTCCTACGATGTGGACGTGAGTCAGGTCATAAATACTGTATCTGAGTGGATACTTTTGATTAAAACAAGAGGCATTAGACGACCCGAATTTCAGGCTTTACTAACTTCGTCTGAATCAGAGCATGGCGAAAGGGTTAATGGACGGTGTCTGAACAATTGGCTTAGAAGAGGGAAAACTTTAAAACTACTGTTTTCGTTAAGGAAAGAGATAGAAGCATTCTTGGCTTCCGTAGGGGCAACGACAGCCCATTTCTCGGACCAACAATGGCTGTGCGACTTTGGCTTCTTGGTAGATATCATGGACCACCTTCGAGAACTCAGTGAACTGTTGCGATTCAATAGAGTCTTTGCTGCTACCGCCTTTGACCATATTTGTAACTTTGAAGTTAAGCTGAATTTACTTCAGAGACATATGGAGGAAAAAAATCTGACACACTTCGCTGCCTTGAGAGAAGTTGTTGATGAGCTTAAACAGCATGTTAAAGACGATGAAAAAATACTTGATCCTAATCGGTACAAAGTAGTGTTCAGTCGCCTTCAGAAAGACTTTGATAGACATTTCAAGGACCTCAAGTTCATTAAAAAGGACTTAGAACTCTTTGCAAATCCATTTAACTTTAAGCCTGAATATGCACCTATTTCAGTAAGGGTGGAGCTAACGAAACTTCAGGCAAGTTCCGAACTTTGGGAGGAATATAGGAACAAAGACTTGGGACAGTTCTATGCTGGGTTGTCTGCTGAATCTTACCCAATTATCAAAGGGGTTGCCTGCAAAGTGGCATCCTTGTTTGATAGTAGTGAAATCTGCGAAAAGGCTTTTTCGTATTTGATTCGAAACCAACACACCCTGAGCCAGCCATTGACAGATGAGCATCTCCACGCCCTGTTCAGGATCGCCACCACAGAAATAGAGCCACATTGGGATGCTCTTCTGAGGGCAAGAAATGACCCTAATCCATAAGCCTGCATAGTCCGACATTGAAACACTCAACCAGAATCCAGTTCTGAAGGCCAGAATTTGATTTTTCAAGTTGTACTAATTTGGATTGTGAGAGAACACCAAGTTTTTTCATTCAAATTGATCACAATTCAGGTTCTCCTGATTTTTTTTTTTTCCATCTCAAGAGGCAGCATGGGACTGAAACATGCAAACACCTCTTTTAAAGCTTAATGGCAAAGTCATTGTCTTTTGCTTTTATAATGTAATTGTTTTTAAAGAGGTTTAGTACTGATGATGTGAGTGGAGTTAGAAGTCTGTTTTTAAGGTGTTTCGAAGAAATTTTAGCTCTTAAATGTTGAAATTCTGATGCATATAGTCTGAAATTATCAGCTCCTTAAATGTATGTTTGAGCCAATTTGCAGAAACTCATGTAGCAAATTTTGAAGTTTCTGAAAAGGAAGAACATACATTCAGTGGAGGTACTTTATCAGAACGTTTGAAGCTTTTTAAAAACGTGTGTGAGTCTGACTTAAATATTGACAGGTACCTCCCTCTTACCTCCTCTCTATCCACCCCAGTGATAATGCTATTACTAATAGAGGATATAATCAAGTAAAATTTTAGGAGCAAGAATTATTTTTGAGTTGCTGGTTAGAAGGCTTCCTGCAGTTTGGAGATCAGACTAACCAATTATTGGAGGTTTCCCCTGAATGATTCACAATTGGGTGCTGTTTTACCAGCTCGCCTATTAAAGGACTATGGTAAGTATAGAATCTTCATGATTGCCCATTAGTAATGCTTTTTTGTATTGTAGACAGATGTTTGGCCCAGTCAAAAGGGAGGAGGCAAAAAGATTTTTGCACTCTGGAGTCAGGAGGTGTGAGATACTTTAGTTTATTTGTCCTATCTGCATGGGTGTTACTGCTTTTTAAAGAAATCCTGCTTAAAGGAAACTATTTTATAGTGATATACTGTCAGATTTTGTTAGCTGCTTGAAGTGGATTTGTTAGAGAATTTGAAACTGCCCTCCTCATTCTGCACTTAAGACAGTGCACAAGTAGAAATATTTAACTCAAGAAGCAGCTTTATTCAGGTTGTAGCAATTTCATATTTCTACTGAGCCATCTGTTTTGTGATAAAACAGTAATTTTCAAATTTAAATTAACCATGAAAAGGACATCTTAATGAATAGCCAAATATGTAAAATGACTTACAAACAGACCCAGTTTGTAGGTCCTCTCAAGTACGATCTGAACACATGTGCTGAAGTCCTAACTATTGTAACACCTTGTTCTATGGTCATTAGTCCAGCAAATTCAAGGAACCAGGATGCAACCAAGAATTTAGAAGGAACTGATGCCTGAGCAATCAAAATAGTGCCATAAGAACCCAAGAACCAAAATTGTGTCATTGGTTCTCAACCTGAGGCAAGTAAACCCTCTTTCCACAGGATGTTGGGACATACAGGGGAGTTTTTTGGTTGTCACATTTAGTAGGGAGGAGGGGGGTCTGCTGGCATTTAAGTCATAGGATAGCCTGGCACACTGAAGAATTATCCCTTTCAAAGTGCCAGTAGACCCTCCCAGGGTAGATTATTTTATTTTGAGGGAGGGGGAAAATTACCAGTAGAAGCAAAATTAGAAGGCCAAGTTGGGCAAACTGACAATACTTGATAGGGAAGACTAATGCCAACATTCTGAGTGTGGTTGGTAGGGTGCAGTCAAGTCCCTGTTATATTCTGGCAGCTCACAGTAGCATTTATAAATCAGTAATTGATATTGAACCAGAATAAAGGGCTTGAGTCTGTTATATACAATTCATTGAGGGCAGAAAAGCAAGAGTTATGACAAGATACCAAGAATGGTCAAATTGAGATTTTAGTTAACAGGGAGTAGGCTTACATTTTTGGGGGGAAAAAAACAAAAAACAAAAAAACAAATACAGTGAAAATCCAACCAAACAAACAAAAAAAATCTGCCGGTAATTTTCCCATAGTTTGGGATATTTTCTTTCATGGCAAGTGCTTTATTGAAAGAATGATTGGGAGATCAGAAAGCTGCCCCTGCTTTCTGACCCTGGTTCCTCAAATATCGCAGTCTTGTACATTTTGTGAGTTTCTAGTATATATTTTGCTTATGGTAATAATAAAATTAGTTTGCATCATGTAGTCAATGAGTGGGTGGGGATGGGAGATAAAAGCCAAGGATTTTAAATTGGCCCTGAATCATAGAGAATTTGCTATAAACTAGTCTTGTTTGTAAAGGAAAAATGTGTATTTTACTGTTTTCTGTATATTAAGTAATTCTGTAACTGCATGGCAGTCTTGTTTTTTTACATATTTTTTTATAAAGTAGTTGTTAACTGGTCCTGTTGTAGCAGTGAATAGAGTTCAAACAAGTACTGTTTTTTAAAAAACTCTTATGCTCCTGTATTTCCCACTCCTACTAGTGTCCTTAGAAGATCTGTGTGTGTTCTGTTCTCCCACGTTGTCACTGCTCTGCCAGGCCCGCAGCGTCCTTGTGACCGTTCTCACCCTCTGACACCACTGCCCTCTCTCCTTGAAATAGATGTTTGCTTTGGCTCCGGAGAGAAGCCCTGTCCAGGTGTGCTCGCTCAGCCGTCTTTGTGGGTACCTCTTTGCCCTCAGTGTCTGTGCTCCTGGGATAGTTGTTTTGTGTTAGGCTGTCTTATTCTACGTTGTCTTCTTAGCTGACCTCATTCATCTCCTTTCATGGCTTCAGTTACCTCCTGTATGCACATGGCACATGAATTCATATCTCCTTGCTGGACCTTTCCTAATTCACCCATCTAAATTCTAACTTAGGTCCATTCTGCTATCTCATGGCACGGCGGCATAACATCGATCTTGTCCCTAAACCTGCTTCTCTTGTGTTCCCTCTTAGTAAATGACACCACCACTACTAACTACTCGGTTGCCCTTGCCTAAGCCGAAACCTGAGTTATCCATGACTTTTTTCTCTTCGTGCATCCTGCCATTCACAAAAACCTTTCCGTTAAGTTCACTGTCCAAACTTTTCTTTTCTCCAGTGCTACTATTTTCTTCTAATTCAGGCCATCAGTCTGCCTAAAGGGTAGCAACAGCTTCCTCACTGGTCTCCCTTTCTCTGGTTTTGATCCCTTTCCCCACTGCAGCCAGATTTTCCAAAAGACATACCCGGTCACGTCACTGCACCGCTTTCACCATTTCTCTTAGGATAAGGTACAATTTCTGTTCGTCTTTCAGATCTCACTTTATATACCACTTCCTCCAGGATGCCTTCATTGATTCCTGCTAGACTAGGTGCCCCTACTGCACACTCCCTAAATATCTGTTTTTCCCAACCACGTGCTTAACGCCCATTATTGTTACTTGTTATTAATCACTGGTAGACTGCAAGCTTTATAAGGACAAGGGACCTTATGACTTGTTCACTGTTATATCTTGCTTAGCACAATGCCTGGTGTTTCAATAAATGTTTGGATGAATAAATGTTTGTGTAGCGTTTTACGATCTTTGAAGCCCTTCCCCTGTGTCCTTTGCCTCCTGTCTTAGACTGCTCGCTGGGTAATTGTTATCCACACATTACAGATAAAGGAATGAAACGAAGTTGTTTGTGACCAGGGACCTCACTGTATTCCCGGAATGTAGCTCAGTGCTTGGCGTGTGGCTCAAATATTATGTGAATGTTGTTGGGGAAACAAACTTTGATTGCAGTTTGCCCTCGTAAACATAAGTAGCAAAGGCAGGATTCAAACGCAGTCACACTCACGTGAGTCCACTATGCAATAAGTCGTTACCTCCTTGATGTAGAAGTCTTCATTTTTTTTTCTTTAATTTCTAAAGGAACCTGGATGAAAAGCCCTGGACAACTATTTAGCGGACCAAAAAATACTTAAGTAGTTAGAAAATTAAACTCAGTATCAGAAAAAGATAATGCTGCTTAAGAGTTGATACCCACTTTCCTTTTGTAAGCATCAACCCTAGGAGAAAATAGCATGCCATTTACTTGCTCCTTTTCTTTACAGACAATTTCTGGCTCTCCCGGGATTTAAAAGTAAGTAAATTTAACAAAATACTAGAGGGATGACTCTGTCAGCCCTCCTGGTCACCGAATATTTTGTTCACTTGCTTCCCCCCTGCAGACTGTCCTGACCAACCTCCCCAGTGAAGAAGACTCAACCGTGATGTCTAGCCAACACGTTCTTAGATTTGCTGCGTTGGGTTTCTTACTTGCAAGCCTTTCTGAACTTAATTTCGGGGTAACTGGGACTTTCAGGCTTTGTGGGAGAGCCATACCCTTACTGTCTTTCCTTGGGCCTTTTTATCCAGTTTTTAAAGGATTAACTAACTAGTGTTAGACTTTTAGTTGGGTTTTCGCCTGAGGTACATTAACTCTTTCAGAGATGGTAACGGGAGGTATGATAGACAGCCAGTGGTTTCGCCCTTGCTGCACAACTGGGTTTGAATCAACCTTAGGACTAAAGCATTTCTCATGTTTATCTTTTTGTAATTGAGAAGTGGCCTCACCCTACTCAACAGGTAATTGAATTTGTGAATGCTCTTTATTTCCTTGCATTCCTGCTCGCAATTTGGTGAGTTCTTTTCTGAGTTCATCTCTTTCCTGTCCTTTTTGTCAAATGCAGCCAATAGCAATAATAGTGTATTTTCTTTCTTTTTTTTTTCCTTTAGTAAAGGGTACATTATTGGCCTTCCAGCTTCTCTAAAGGGACAGTTTAACCCTTCCATTACACAAATTGCCCTTACAGGAGTTATTTCTTCTGTCTTCCAATAGCAGCATCCTGAATGCCTGCCAACTACGCCAAAGTTCAGTAGTTCAGGTTTTTTCAAAACAGAACCAGTTTCTGTATCAGGATGGGGTATTATATTGCCATATGGTAGCTGCAAAATCTCAGTGTCGCAACTTTTCTCTCGCTTGGGCAGGGACTTTGCTCTAGGTCAGGGGTTGACCACAGGCAAAATATGTCCTGTGCTTGTTTCTATAAATAGTTTTATTGGAAGACAGCCTTGCCCATTTACCTGTGTATTGTCCGTGGCTGCTTTTGCTCTACAATAGCAGAGTTGAGTAGTTGTCACAGAATGTCTGGCCCAAAAAGAGTGAATATTTACCATGTGACCCTTTATAGAGAACGTTAACTGATCCTGCTATATAAATTGCCCTCATTCTGAGACTCCTGTCAACCAAGCCGATACCAGCCAGGGTGTGGTTGCTCATTTGGGGGAAAGAAGAGTATAGCAAATCTCTCACTGGCCCCTAAAGCACTTCCACTGGCCAAAGTAAATCACATGACCTCACCAAAGTTCAGGGAGTATAATCCCTCCACAGGCCTGGGTGGAAAACCAGAATTATTTGGAAACAATTCTACTGATTAACATATGGTTCTATCTTTTTATTTATGAGATTTCTTTTAAAGTATTTTTATTGGGGTAAAACATTCAGTAAAGTGTGCAAAAATTCAGTGTACAACACAGTGGATACTTATACACACACTGACCCCATGACCCAGATCAAGATGCTGAACACTTCCAGCATCCCAGGAGGTGCTCTGCTGCCCCTCCCACACACAGATAACCGTGGTTCTCGCCTTTGTCCCCCCCAGGGATCACTTCTGTCTGCTTTAAAACCTAATGTAAGTGTAACCATTGTATGTAACCTTACGTCTTATCTGGCATGTCTGTGTGAGTCCTCCGTGTTGCATTTCATATTTTGAGCAGCAGTTCATTTTTTACTTGTGTAGTATTCCCGTGTGTGACCAACACAGTGTGTTAATCCATTCTAGTGTTGGAAATACTGGTTGTTTCCAGTGTGTGGTTATTATGAATAAAGTTGCTGCGGACATTTTTGTATCTGTCAGTGAATACGTGCACTTGCTTCTCTTGGGGTTTTCTGGTGTATACCCTGCTCCCATACTTCCCACACGGTAGTTAATCACACAGCAACCAGAGTGGTCTTTTTCCTTTTCTTTCTTTAATGTAAATCAGACCATGCCACTCATCTGCTCAGAGCCCTCCCGTGGCTGAGTATCCAATCAGAATAAACTCCAAGGTCTTTATCCTGGTCTACGAGGCCCCGCATGACCTGCACCCGCATGTACCTTTTTCTTCCTTCACCGTCTCACACCACTTCTTTATTCCTTTCCCTGCCCTCCCTCCCCTCACTCTGCTGTCCTAGACACTGCCTGCACATGGGGAAATCCAGGTAAGTTATTTGACCCTGTCCTTAAAGAGGTTGTACTCTACATAGGTAATTTGAATATAAGCCATAACACTCCCTAAGGTCATTCTGAATATGCAGCAGGACCAGGACAAAAGCTTTTTTCTGACCCCCGTTACTGTGCTTTTGCCACTGTTCTGTTGCTGTCGTCACCGGATTCCTTTACCCAAGAATCTTTGCAGTCTTGCCCTTTGGCTCTAGCTAGTGAAGGCTGAGACAGGATCTCGGTGCTAACACAGAAATCCTTTACGATTCTAGAATTCTTTTGAGATATCTTTACATTAGAATCCTTTAAGATATCTTTAAACAAAAAGATTTTATTTTCAGAGAGAGGGGAAGGGAAGGAGAAAGCAAAAGAGAAACGTCAATGTGTGGTTACCTCTCAAGCGCCATCTACCAGGGACCTGGCCTGCAACACAGGCATGTGTCCTGACTGGGAATTGAACCATTGACTGGTTGGTTTGCAGGCTGGCACTCAGTCCACTGAGCCACACCAGCCAGGGCAATATACATAAAATTCTTTAAAAAAATTTGAAGTTTTGAAATAGTTTCAAAATTATATTTGAAATAGTTTAATAATATTACTAATGGTAGGCTTACCAAATGAAGTTGAGATTTCTGTACAGTTCTCATTGTCTTGACAATATAACCCGCTCAGAATGTACAGTTAAAATACTGTTCTTCAAAGTTAATTGAATTAATTTGTCTGTGTGTGTGTGTGTGTGTATGGTTGTGTGACCAACCTGACATTCATTGAGTTTTATTTGTTTCAGTTTGGAACAGGTTTTTGATTACTTTTTCTTTTTTTTATTTGTTTCATATTGTTTCTGAAGATAAAATTATATGTCTCATTTCCATCCTTGTTACACAAGGTGCAGGACTGTCTGAAATTAACCCTGGGTTCTCACCATGAATTGTCTAGGAAATGAACTGGCTAGACTCTCATCCTTTTCTTCAATGAGATGAGAGCACCTGTGAAGAATAAGGCCTGAGACAGCCACTGGCCTGGAGTGACCATGAGCGCTGCAGATGCTCGAGACACGAGAAAGCATACACATGGACAGCTGAGTCCTGTGGAGAAATAGGGACGGAAGGGCCACTCTCTCAAGAGGGGAGCACCCCATTTTCCCACTTGAGTAGGCTTTTATTAAGAATACAGATACAGTTTGTTGATTACAGTCTGGCAGGGGAGATCAAACGAATAGGTAACTTTCAAAGGGGCCGACAGAGCTCACGCTGAGTTTTGGGGTTTTATCATTCAAAAGGCTACGGGACCTAAAAGCTAGTTTTGTTTCCTGCCTGTGCCTTCATATTCTAATTCAAGAGCATCCTCCAGCAAGCAGGTCTCACAGGATCTTGCATATTCTATGCCCCAGGTCTCATTACCCCGGGGGTCCACCGACTCTGGTCTGGACTGCACCGCCCCTGTTATTTCCGCAGGCCTGAGTCGGGCAGAGGAGACAAAGGCAACTGAGAGACTTAGATTTCTCACAGCCAGAACAAGGACTCAGGCTTTGTCAAATCACCCCCTCATTTCCACAGCCCCCTGAGTCTCTTCCCTGGGGCCTCCACGCGATCATGCCTGTCTTAGGCGATTCCCCCTTGGGGAACCTTACCCATCATTGCCTAACTGATCAAGCATTGGGGGCCAGGAAAGGAGCAGAAGCAGCGCTCCTGCCAGGGAGATAAGCTTGTCTCCTTTTAGTGGCTTCTGGTCTGGAGGTCTCCCACTCAGCCTTAGCCACGGGGGGTTACAGCTTCCTGAGACCAGGTGGGGTGGACCCCAGCAAGGCCAGCTACAAAACTAGTGGGAATACTATCCAGCACAAGATTGCTTTCCCTTCTGACACAAACACAAGTTTAGGGGGGCTCCCAAAACTACCCTCAGGTTCTGTAGTATACTAGCAGGACTCATAAAAGTCACTGAAAGTGGTTGTATTCATGATTATGGTTTATAAAAGGAAAGAATACATACTAAAAATCAGTCAGGCCCTGGCTGGTGTGGCTCAGTGGATTGAACACCAGACTATGAACCCAAGGGTCGCCAGTTCGATTCCCAGTCAGCACACGTGCCTGGCTTGTGAGCCAGGTCCCCAGCAGGGGCGCACAAGAGGCAACCACACATTGATGTTTCTCTTCCTCTCTTCCATTCACCTCGCTCTAAAAATAAATACATAAAAACAAGCCAAAAGAAATCAAAGAAAGAAGCATATGGAGCAGAGACCAGGAAAGTAAACACAGAGCTTCTGTTGTCCTCTCCCCCGAGAGTAAGGATGCATTCCTTTTCTGTCACTGATGTGTGACTGTAGGCACAGAATATTGTCATCCAGGGAAACCTCAGTGTCCAGAGTTTTTTGGGGGGCTGAATTACCTAAGCATGATTGATTGTCCATGTAGCTAATCTCACTTTCCAGTTTGCTGTCACTCTGGGTGTGACTCAAAGCCCCCACCCCGTAGCACATTGTTAGTCTTCCCCCTACCCTAAATCATGTTGTCAGACAAGTGGGCGTGACTAAAGGCCCCCAAGTCAGCAAAGGCACTCCTATCAGGTACAGCATTCCAAAGCTTAGCAATCACCTCCCAGAAGCTGAGAGCAAGGCCAGACCTCTTTTCCTGGGTAAGGTGACATTCTCTTTCTTCTTTTACAAATTGAGATATGACCAACATAGGTGAAATTCTTCACTAAACAGCCCCTAAACTTAATTTCTTGTGTCAGTAGCTTCCCTCCTACACAAGGGATCTGTAGAATCCCACAGGCTTCAAGCTCCCTAGGTGCTGGATA